CAATACGGCTGAGTTGAAGAGAACGAAACATGTTGCTCTGCTGCTCGTTCAATGTAAGATGTTTTCTCGTATTTGAACACTTGTTAATATGCTTTTCTTCTACGCAAGATTTCAGCCTTCGGGTCATATAGCATTTGACTTTCTTATTCAATTTGAACTTTCTGCAGACCTTTATTTTGGCCTACTCCAATATACCTGATCCCATATATTGTCTTTGATCTTTTGATTTTTTGTCAGAAGCAATAATTCCCTGAATATATGCATCATGTAGCGGTTATTACTGCGGTAATGATTTTTTATCCCATGTTTCACTTGGATTTTCATTGTTTATAGTGAAGCCGATTGTCAACAAAGCCAAAGCACTTCGTCTAAAGAAGGAAGATTTCGAAGTGCTGAAGGTAATCGGTCGAGGAGCTTTTGGAGAGGTATAAAAATGCCATAACGTCAACTGCAACGTATTGTGTATCTTGCTGTAGGTGGCCGTTGTTCGGATGAGAAATTCGGACAAGATTTTCGCCGTCAAAATCTTGAACAAATGGGAAATGTTAAAAAGGGCAGACACGGCGTGTTTCAAGGAAGAAAGAGACGTGCTAGTTTTTGGCGATCGCCGTTGGATAACGAATCTTCATTTTGCGTTCCAGGACGAAAAAAATTTGGTGAGAATGAAAGTTGCTGAAGTTTTCGTTTTTGTTTGGAATTCTTACTGAAATTTTTTGATTTTGTCTGTTCCGAAACAAAAATAATTTAAGAAAACATTTGTACTTTTAACATGATTATTTCCTTTTCGACAATACTGCTAAATTTTTTACGCAAGTATTCGCCCTCACTATTTGCCTTCAAGTTTACCTGCTATAAAATGCCTGAGTTTCTTGGGAATCTCGAAACGACTGCTGTCTAGAAGCACAGAAACGTTCTTCAGGCCCGATTTCTTCTGCCATGATCACTGAAAGTTACAAATTAAACCTGTAGTGTCTGGTCAGTTTGTATGGCATTTTGTGTTTTGCAGAGGCTAACAAATGATGCGGTTGAACTTAAGACCCACCTCAGTGCACTGGTTCTTTCTAAAGTACTTTTGGTGTGAAATTCAGATGTTTTTTTTGATTACACCAGAATATGCCTCATGGTTATGACGCTGACCGTGATGGTAGCGTAAATGATGATGAAAAGAAGGAAGAAGATAACGACAACGACGATGATTATGAATTTACCGATTGATAGCTTCATGCTATGCGTTCACAGACGTGAACTTCATCAACAACTATTTCGACTGATAATGTTTATCTGCGCATATCCACTCATTCGCAGCTGCGGCGAATTCTTGCTGAACATCTCTGTCGATTTTCTTTATCATTCTTTATTTTTGTGTGGTTTATTAGTCACTGATAAATAAATATTCTGTCGTTGTTGTATTGTTTTAACCCATTCAGCATGAAATTTGTTAAGACATGAGTTGCCTCCTATTAAGTTTTACCAATTTTTGGCATTATAGCATTGCTGTCAGGTTTGTTCTACCCATTTCGTGATGTAAACAGTTGGGCGGGAGAACGCATATTTATCGCAGTATTTAAGGCAGCGCCTTTGTTGTTATTTATTTGTTTTTTTCGTTAGGATTATCAGGTGTAAGTGTTTCTTCCTTTTTCAGTATTTGATAATGGATTACTACGTTGGAGGAGACCTGTTAACCTTGTTGTCGAAATTCGAGGACCGTCTGCCGGAAGACATGGCGAAATTTTACATCGCCGAAATGGTGCTAGCCATCAACTCAATTCATAAGCTGGGTTACGTGCACAGGTGCGCGTGGTGAAAGTCGCGATTTACTATGTTGATGTTAAAAGCGTATCTGTTTTAGGGATATCAAACCGGACAACGTATTGCTGGACATTAACGGCCACATTAAGCTAGCCGATTTTGGTAGCTGCCTGAAAATATTGCCTGACGGTACGGTGCAGTCGAACGTGGCCGTCGGTACCCCGGATTATATATCGCCCGAAATCCTGCGGGTTGTTTGATCATGCTGTTTGTACGGCGATCATCTGATTAATCGTTACTTCAGGCGATGGAAGATGGCAAAGGCAGGTATGGGCCTGAGTGCGACTGGTGGAGCCTTGGGGTATGTATGTACGAGATGCTTTACGGCGAAACCCCGTTCTACGCTGAGTCCCTCGTCGAAACCTATGCCAAGATCATGAACCATCAGGTAGCTGTGCTCGATCGTAACTGAACACGCTAATTTATTCGTCTTGTATGCTGACAAGCTGTTGATATAAAACCTAATTAATCAGAGAATTAATTCGGTTTATCTCTGAATGGAAAACATCTTGTCATTCGTGCTGTTGTTTGATGGACATCGTATAAATTGACATTTGTGTTCTTCTCAGGCGCCTGATCCAAGTATTGATTTTTTTTCCATTTTCTCTCCTTCTTTGCTGATCTCATCTTGTGTTCTGTTCAGGCCTATGATAATTGCTCCGCTTTCACATACATATATTGTGTTTCTGTCGCCACGGCGTGTGATTCTCTTATACCCTTCTATCATGCAGTCTGTCATTCATAAACTAGCCTTCGATCTCTCTGCCCATCTATTAACGGATCGAGCAGTCAGTAAGGGCAGCATTCGCTTGTCACGTCTACCATGATGACATGACCAGAAATAGTGATCGATACCTATACCGGGGTCTCGGTTGGCGACGTGCCAGTGTTACTTTCGAACTAGAATTTTTCATAATGGCGAATTTCATGTAAGTCGCTGTTTCATCGTGACTTTACTTCACTGTTCTCATTTTTGTTATGTTATTCTGCGCATTCTTTGGCTTGCGACAATTTTTCTTTTTCAGTTGAGTGCGCTTGTTGTTGGAGCACCGGGGGGCGTTTTACAGAATGCTGATTAAGCCTGTCTGTCTGAAGGGTCAAATGTTATTTCATGAACTCGCTGTTCTCCTTTTACAGGCAGTATTATCTCGGCTTCGTTCAGCTTCCACCGATGTGCTATGATGGCCTTCAATATTTTTTGCTTCCTCACTATGGCAGAGTTGTTCCTATACCTCACTTAAAAGTAAAACCTTTTTTGTCTCTCACAGAAACCTCTTGTTTTCCTGGGATAAAACCAAGACGAACCGGGTGTCATTGAACTCTCGTGATTTAGAGAGCGGTGGCTGTACATCATGTCTGTCCAATTGGTGGTTTTCCACGAAATGTGATATCGTTGCGGATCTTGCCCTGGATTGGACAGTAATCGCACACTCGCAAATCAGTTTTCCTGGACAACAGACTGAATGATAAATCGGCTGATGACAATGAGACATCTTGTCTCAGCGAGTGCTTAACGGAATCGTTGAACTACTCACTTACTGACTGAATTATCGCCGCACATGATTGCGGTTTATCACGCGAATATCATGATCGAGACATTTTGATTTGTTGCTCATGTACCTGTTTCCGAAAAACTTTTAGTACTGTAGGTGAGTTTTGTCCCTTGCACCAGATATTCACTACACCATGAGAACGTACCTGTGAGAAGAATATAAAATCTCACCCTAAGATCTGTGTCATATGGATCTAAATGTCGGTGTTGGTTTTTGCTTATGATAAACTGCATAAACTGATGTATTGTTTGTTGGTTGCTTGAATTCATCTTGAGCGTTAGTTGCATAAGTATGACTTCAGTGGTTTGTGACATTGCTGTATTCGTAGCTTTTCATCAATAACGCTTTGAGACCAACCGTTATTCACATGTTTTGATTTTATTCTTCGCATGCCGCAAACATTTGTTATTTTCTGAGAAAAATCGGGGATCGGGAAAGCCCCTGAACAGTTGAAGATCGCTGAACAGTTAAAATGAGAATTCGATATCGAAGAATCGATTGACTCACATGAGAATTAATGATCGAATGAAGAACTCATTAAATTAGAAGCACCTGAAGCTGAGGTTTCGGGACTAGGATAGGAACCGCAATGCTTTGTGACGAAAGAGAGGATAATCGCGTCCCATGTGATTTCAGCGGTAGCAGCACGATTGGAGAAGATCGATATCAATGACTCACGGTTCTTAAAAGTCGAAAGAGAAATAGACGATGCTTTGGCGTGTAATTCATGATTTCTGAATAGAACAAAGGAATCGCTGTTCAGTCATAGCTTTATAATTTTATAAGAACGGTTGAACTTCCAGATTAAACATTTTTAAACGTATTTCTTACTTTTGCATGCTCTTTACGCTGTAATATATTACTTTTGCGTTATTAATTACATACTGAATTTAGTCAAATTTTATGTGAATCCTGTGAACGAACCTAACATTTATATATAGTTTTGGCATCATCACAAAAGAACACCATGCTACCATTTTTGTTCACAAATTAGCGAGCAATTAATTGTTTCTTGACTAGTTACGTTGAATCACACTGGGTAAATTCCTTGCTCAACGGTATTTACACTTAACAAGAAAATTTTGCGCCACTTCGAGATAATATTTTTCGTCAACATAATTGTAACCCTTCTAACGCTTTTTGCATTCACCACGCTAACAAAATCAGCTTTACTTTCGTCTTATTTTCCCTGACACATTCCAGAAAACCTCATAAAAGCTGGCATTCTTCGATTGAGATGAAGTCAATCACTCTTCCTCGGTGGAAGAGTCTGTGGCAAAGCAGCGTTGAGTCCCCGCCAAGCTGTGATCGGATTTCTCAGCATGTGGTCACTCCTTGAAGTTTGATCGTGACCGTGATTCTGTGATACTTTGAAGAACTGCGGTTATCAAGTGCAGTTGCAAAATCAGAAATGCTGGCCGGAATCAAACCGTTCGCCTGAATTTCCCGCGTCGCTATTTTTAAAAAAATGATTGATTTATTTTGTCTCTCGAGGTTGCTGGTGCCATCTCTCTCCGCCGACCAGCAGCAACGAAACATGAGATTAAGAACAGAGTGCAATTTAGATTTTGAGATTTGCCAAGTCTGCTGACTGATAGTCGATACATGACTGTGACTGTTATCTTTGCGACGTTGACTACTGGAAGTAAAAGGGCGGGACAGTATTGCGGTATTTCATAGTGTAAGATTTTCATCTCTCTTACACTACCGCAGTATCGGTGTAAAGTTAAAATAAATTTTTCTTTCTTTACATTGTACGTTTTCGACATTTTGAATCCGTAATCGATTTATTTTAAAAACAAAGATCAGTCAACTTTACCACCTGTAAACAAGGTGGCTGTCAATTGAGAATACTGGATCATGAGAAAGATTACTTTTTTTAAGTTTTATAAGCAGATGCCATCTGCTTCTAAGTCTAAATGGAGATGGAGTGGCAGCATTATGCTGGATGGATGGTCCAGCGAGATGAGATGATGTCTAGTGGCTAATTTAAGCATTGTTGGTTTTTTCTGCACGCTTACCTTCTCCTCACATTTGCAGTATCGAGATGTATACTATAAATGTACAGTAAATCAGCATCAGTCAATAAAAATAATAATAATAAACTTGGTAGGTTCAGTGCAGTCAAGTTTCGCGTTAATATCAGAGGCAGACAGTCGAAACTTTTTCGTTCCTCTTTATCTTATCGTTCTTCCTGTGCTTTTTGTTCAACTGCAGACGTGTTTCTTCCTTTCCTTCTTCGATTTTTTCTTTTCATCTTTCACTTATTCTGTTTTCTCACTCCTGCATCACTTCGTTGTTTAATTATTGTTGTCTTTCGTCTTCGTTTTTTTCTTCCCGTTGTCCCACCTTCGGTCAGCTGAGAATTCGATGCGTTACCTGTAGATGCCTCAGTCGCTGTCTGTCCAAAATGTAGCACATTTTCGCTTCTCGAATACTTTTTTCGTCATTCACCCATCATTTTCTGCTACGTTTTCTTTCCCTGTATCTTTCGACATGCGTCGCCACTGTCAGCTACTAATCTGCTTGTTGTTAATGTTTTCAGGTCTCCATACCGGTTTAGCTGTTGTTCTTCTGTTTTATCGAACTGTCTATCGTACAGGAAAATGAAATATGGAAGTTCGTAACCGTTGGGATCTGTTTTACAGTTCCATAATATTGGCACCATATGTCGCTTTTGTTTTCTGCAAGACGTATGGCGCGGCGGTGATTTTTGTTTATGTCCTGTCAATTAGTCGTGCCTTGTTTCAGAGGCAATGTATGCAGTTGTGTAGCAAGTATGGTGTGTAGCTTCCTGCTTCCATTCCCTTAATGTGACACTTGTCTGAATAGAAAACTGGAAGGTGAGTAACCACACTGCAGCTTGACCTCCTGATCTTTCGATTGTGAGTCTTCGACTCTTTGCCCACTGAACAGCCGTTTTATTTTAGAAAAGCAGCACAAATTGGCTAAGAGATTTGAATACAATTTTTTGGAGCTTGATGTTGTATGCATCCTGAAGCTGCAGTTTCTGTGTTGTTCAGACCTTTCGGCATTGTTTTTCATTATCAGTTTTCGTTCTTCATCTTACGTATTTCTAATAATCACACAGAAAATTGCTCGTCAACTTGCCAGTCATCTTATATCAGAATTCATGCAGTTGTTGTGCGCATTAACGCCGAAAACCACCACCGTTTTACTCACGGTTGTTTCCTACTGTTCGTTTTTATTTGATTGAAGCCTCCACATTTGCTAGATTATTTGGAAATTGTTAGGTTTCGGGTGTAGATTTTTTTAACTGTGTATTTTTTTCATTCTGTCTAGTTTTGAGTTTTGTGTTGATATTTATTCGCATTTGCTTATGTTACGAACAGAGCACTACGTTTGCGATTCGAATCCGCTAAAGGGATAATCTTTGTGTTAAGCACCAATTCCCTTGACAAAGGAATTTACCTCACGTTACTTTAATGCAACTAACCGAGAACCAGGTGTAGCAAGTCGTTGACTTGTGAATAATATGGATAGAATGGTATTCGGTTCTGGTCATGCCAGAATGGACGACGCGTTCAGCCATGCTGTCCAGTGCAAGTATCCATTGTGGCTGCAGTTGGCTTTCACCCACCTGATGGCTAATTATTCAGCGTAATGGTTAGTGTAAGAATCAACATAAGTTAGTGTAAGAATCACCCTGATTTCTTTATCTAACAGAATTTTTTTCACACTCGTCGAGATAAATTGGCCCCTGGACGAATTTCTGGTCGTAGTAGACTGGCGATGTTCCGGCTCCGCATGTTTGAAGGGATAAAAACTCCCTCAACTCATGAGTGTAGATTGCTGTGAAACTGATATGACGGACAAATGGCCATGGGTTATATGGGTACTGGCGGTAAAAAAGCGTGTAAGTTGTTCATAAAAAATTATTATACCTACCGTCATAAACAGATAATTAATTAACTATTGCAACAAAACAGTATAAGTGGAGCTGGTTTGGTTAATCATGATTTGAAATGACTTTTGTTAACAGGTTATTTTTTTCGTTATGTCATTACAGTCGAAGATAGCATCATTTTCAGGGTCATAGTAAGAAATTACGAACGATCAGTGTGACAGTTCGTAATGGCCATTATGCGTTCGTTTTAAATTCTAACGTTTCG